TCGATGTCGTTCGTACCTGAAATTCACCAAATTTAATCATAGCTTTTTCAGGGATGATGGCTTTGGCGCTCCACGGCGGCAGCGGCGGCCAGCGATGGAGGCTGATTTTCCCATGATTATCCTCCTACTACTAACACCGGTGGATGTTGGATCCAGTTACTGTGGATTTTAAAAAAAAATTGTTGCTAAATCTCGCAAACAGAAAGAGGATAACCGTGCACAGAGATAACTGTACTAAATAATGCATAATTTGTTTTCAAATTTTATTCAGTTTATTTAGTTCAAACTGATGAATGTGACCGAACCTCCATTTAGCTAAATTTTGCTGCTCATTTGCGAAGCCATGTGTCAACAGTTTGTAGCTTCGGTTTTGTACTGTAAATAGTTTTAGAGGAAAAATTTTCTTTCTGATACTGACATGTGTCCAAAATATTCATTACTTTAAATAAGTACACTAGATGTAAATGTAAGCGTCTATATTGGTTTCAAACTCATCCAAATTAACATTCAACTTTTGCAAATTTGGGTAAGATTCACACCCATTTTCGCATAGTCACAGTTTGAGGCTCACTGTAGTAGTACTTTCATCAACCAATGAAACCCCAAAAAAAATCGTGTTACTAAAAAATGAACCAGTAATGAAATCACTTATTGGAACTAAAACAATATAACATCCTCACAGTAGTAGTAGCATCAACCAATGAAGCCAAAAAATAAGAAATAAAAAAATGCGTTACTGAAAAATGAACACCAGATAATAAAATAACTTATTGAGAACTAAAACAATACAACATATTCCCTCCGTTCCTTATTCGTATAAGTCATTTTGATTTGTTCTAAATTTCACTTAATATATTTTTCATTGAAAAAAAATCTTAAAAATATTTTCTAATAATTAGAAGAACACAATGAATGTGAAAGTTTAGTTTTGTGATTTTTTTTTTCCAATTAAGAAAAACATACTAAGTGAAACTTAAGACAAATCAATATAACTTATAATAAAGACCGGAGCAAGTATAATAAAAATGTACGTGTCATAATCTCATAATAAGTCACGTTTTAGTCAATCTGGTCAATCTAACTCTTAAGCATTAGAGATGAAACCGCCATTCATCCACGAAAACTCGAATATTTCATCACTAAAGTCACCAATCTCATGACCAAAGTGGTTGTGGTGGAGTGGAAGTGATTTCTCCACCCTTAACCATAGGTCGAAAATTCGAACCTCGCTATGGGTATGAAGCAACCTTAAATACTTTAGTCAGCTGTCCCACCCATCGAGGTACCTACAATTTAGCGAGGAGAATTAGTCACTATTACTGACGCTAAACAGCCTACAAATAGGAAAAAAAAAAAAAAAAAAAGTCACCAATGTCATGAGTTACAAACAAAGGCCCCCTTCCAAAATTCCCAGTTTCCGCGGAAGCTAGCTAACGTTCATAGTGAAAGGGCGGTGCAATACTCATGAATGTTTCATCAGCTAAACAGAAAGATAAAAACCCCGAACTTCCATGCTATAAGGTGAATTACACCCTTGAGGAAGTTACGTGGTGAAATATCAAAAGACAAATCATACCGAAATGCTTCTCCAACAATTTTTCTTTTTTTTTTCAGCTCGAAAACTCACCCCTGGTCTAAAACAGAATTGTTCTATTGATGTCATGATAATTTCGATTTTGGCTGAACTGTTGGGATTTGCTTCTGCTGTATAAAACCCATCATTCAGGCCATCCTTATTGTTTGGATTGTAAGTGTTTAAAAGTGGCCATGTATGCCATTGCCCTATAGGTGATTTTTTAGGTTAATGATCTAAATAACCGTTTAAAAAAAAAAATCCGATTGAAAATCTTGATAATGATTAATCAAAACTCGAACTACATAAATCCTAAAGCTTTAGAGCCTGAATTGAAAATCCTAAAGCTTTAGAGCCTGAATTGAAAATCCTAATTAAATCAAGGTTAATTAGGAAAGTTTCTTACCTGTTATTTCCTAGTTGGTTTTTAGGTTAGTGATTTCTTCTTATGATTTTCTAGTACTTCTTTGTGTAATTTTGTCTGTAACAAAGATTCACAAAACAATCTAGAAAACCCGGAATCTGTTGAGAGTTATACTCCCTCCGTCCCATAATTATTGTCCAGTTTGAGTTTTTATTTCTAGTTCAAATTGTACTAAAAATGAAATCTCAAACTGGACAATAATTTTGGGACAGAGGGAGTATAACATATAGTTGTGAACTTGTGATGCGGAATATGATCAATGTGATTAAAGATATGCCATGATTATCGTCCTATACGTTCTTCCTCGTACAAAAATAAACCAATTTTATGATAAAATTAAATTAAAACATAGTGTAGATATAAAGCATAATGACTACCTCATTTTCTAATCACAGACTTAACGCCTAAAGACAGATCATTTAGTATCTTCTATTGATATACTCCCTCCGTTCCATAATTATTGTCCATTTTAGTTATGATAAAAAAAAGTTTTTGGTTAAACTTGATTATATTTTGGCTTAAAAACTCGAATATATCCCTGCATAAATAATTGGTTAACCGGCACGATTTTGTTATTTCCGGTACTGTCAAAGTCTATGATCGCCGGGACTTCTCCAACCACCACGACTCAGCCGCCGAGTCTAACTTTCAACCACCGGGTGAGCTCCAACCCGGGTCGATTCTGGAGCTAGAACCAAAGAAAAGAAGCTTCTTTTGAAATCATGTTCTGTTTCTGTATATGCCATTACTGACAATTCACAAAGACGGAAAGAAGAAAGTCCTCACAAGAATGCTAACAACTTGCCTTTTCAAGTTTCGGTTCATCATATACAAATCAAATTGATAAGGGAACTTCAATTTCATATTCACTTTCAGATCCATAAGGCGGCATCTCCGGATCTCGTCCCTATTGATTCTCTTTCTAAGGTACTGACAATTGCCGATTTCTCGCCGGCTCCGATGCTCGGTTCGAATCTCCGGGTAGCTCTTTGAAAGAGCGTTCCGGGTGCTTTCAATGAAGCCGCTGCCAGAAAGGCTTACCTAACCAAATTCGGAGTACTTGAATACAGTAATTTTCAAACAGTAAAAACGATTTCTTCGCATATTCCTTTCCGACAATCACAGAAAACCTCATCTCACCACCACTTTGAGCCGTCGGAGTACGGGCTCGTTTTGTTGCTATTTTTTTTTTAATAAAGTATTTGGAGATCCAGTTGCTATTTTGTGACCGGATTAAACGGTTTTAGTGAAATGATTTTTTTGTCTAAAAGGTAAATGTGTAATATAATTCAAAAAAAGTCAAATCGAATAATAATTTTGGGACAAAATTTTTTTGACAAAGTAAACAATAATTATGGGACGGAGGGAATACATTAGAAAAATTACAAACAAAATTAAGTAGTCATTTGCAAAGTTAACTTCTTTAAAACATGTTTGATTCCCTTAATTAATACTATCTCCTTAATGGTTTGAATGATATACCTAGGTATACGATCGATTTCTTCTTAATTAGGACATAATCATTTTTCACTGCACACTAACTTTCAACTTCGATTTTCACCTTATAACACTGATAATCTCATCATAGTCGTCACCTTCCGTACCATATTTTGTTGTTGACAATGTCAGATTACTTATCACAATTAATGGTGATCGAGACATTGAATAACTTTTACTTGAAGTGTTGTATTTCAATATTGAAAAATATTTATTTGACAAAAATTCAGTCAATAATTAAAATGCTACAAATTTCATATAGATGGGAAATTTAATTTTTTTTTTCCGATTCAACAAGGAGAAAATTACATCTACTACACTATTATATTTTTCGGGTGTACCACTTCAATAATATCAAGTAATTGCCAATTTCTAACCCTTGGTGGGGAGAAATGTAATCTAATTACTTGGTTCATCTATTTTCAGACGAATAGGCCGGAGAGAACTTTTTACCAAAACAAAATAACCATATGATTCGGGTGGTAGTATTTCTTTTCTCATTGAAACAGACTTTATACAGCTGTAAGATGGACAAATAAATTGTGAACAACCGGTGTGAAAATGAAAACAAGGAGGGTATCAGGATTCAAAAATCAAAATTGTGGGTGAGTGGGGCCAAACTTCTTCTTCTTCTTCTTCACCACTAAATTTAGCTACAAAATTAATACACGTAACGTGGCCATAATTCACAAACATACAAAACACACAGTCACACACTCCAACTTGACATATACTACTAATTTATTTACACTCCAACATGGCCATATTAAGGACAATCTTGAAACTTTAACAACAAAAAAACTACAGCTACGTTTTGAGTTAACATCATCTTTATCTCTCGACACATGTAAGATAGATTACACAAGATGCCTCCACATTCCACCATGATGAAATGACCTCAAGTGTAGAAAAGAAAATAAAAATCCAAACATTATTTTAAAAAAATAAAATAAAATAAAATCTTTATTTCCGGCCTTTCCCCCCTTTTTTGACCTCGCAAACATTTCCCATTACTCCAAAGTTGTTCTTCCTTAGCTGTCTTTCCGGAATCTCCCCTCTTGCCTTACAAAAGTTATTCTGGGAACATCTGTTTTAAAATTACTCTCCTCCGTGCACGAGAAAAAGTACTCCCTCCATTCTAAAATAAGTGTTATCCTACACTTTACACATAATTTAAGAAACTCTTAAATAGGGTAATAAAATTATTTGAATATCCTCAACCAATCTCATTATAAAATTGTCCACCAATACATCAATTCTTTTGAGGATAATTTTGGAAACTTTTGACAAAAAATGCATTGAAATGTAAGAACGACACTTATTTTGAAATTTCTCTATTTTGCTAAAACGACACTTATTTTAGAAGGAGAAAGTACCAATTAAGTTAAACCTTGAAGGAAAAATGTAATGAAAATAACTACTTAAACTTACTTTTATAAGTAAATTGAAAACAACCTTTTTTTTATGTCATTCACCTAACAGAATAGAAACATATAGATATTATTGGTAATATTTAAAACAGTTAGTACAAAGTTTTTTTTCAATAAAAAAAGTTAACACAGAAAAAAAAGTTAGTAAAATTTACTTTATGATGACATACAGGTCTCATGTGCGTAAACTAGATATTTAAATATTTAATACATAAATTAATTATTGTATAATTGTCTCTCTAATTTACATGTAAAGTTTAAACTGACATATATTTTGAAACGAAAGGAGTACAATGTTAGATTGATCATTTATGCAATTCCCTACACAAACTCCATCGTAGCATATCATAAAAAGGAGACACAAAAACTCCAATTTTCCACCCAAAATTGTGTAGCCGACGAGCCGTCAAAGATTAAATGCTCCCGGTGAAAAAGTCAAAATGAAAGTGAAAATACAACCTTTTGGGTTTTACCACTCCAACCAACCATCTCTTGACACGTCATTCGATCTATATCTACCGTGAGCCCCACACGTGAACCTTGACACAATGACACTTCAGTCATTATCTCTTCTTTTTTCCCACCTCCCTCATTTCATTACCCCAAAAAAATAAAAATAAAAAATAAAATAAAATATTCCCCCTTAAATATCCCCCCAAAAAAAAAGAAAAAGAAAAAAATAAATAAAAAGGCCTAGAGTGGTGATAGATAAACTTTTTTATTTTTTTACAAAACCCATAAAAATCAAAAGAAAACCCCGAAACAGATTTTACCCTCTACCTTAACGGCTTAACCCCTAGTGAAAAAATCAATCATGCTGGAGGATAACTCTGGTGGAGGCGGTGGCAGTGGAGATGGCAGCGGCAGCGGCAGCGGTGGTGGGATGGGGTCCATGACGGTGGAGGAGATGGTGGCGGCGGTGGAGAATGGCGGTGGTGTTATTGGTGGTGGTGGAGAGGAGGAGAGAGGGAAAGGAGGAGGAGGAGATTTGGGTAACAGGTGGCCACGTGAAGAAACTCTGGCCTTGTTGAAGATAAGGGCCGATATGGACCTTACGTTTCGTGACGCCACTACTAAAGGTCCGCTTTGGGGTGAGGTTTCAAGGTACTGTTTTTTCCGATTGATTTTTGTATCAGTTGGTAATCCCAGTTCTTGCTTCTTATATGTGTTTCAATTGTTTTGTGCTTCGTTCATGGAAGCTGTAATTCAAGTGTAATTGACTTCCTCCAGTGTTAATAAGTTCGGATTTTTATTTTGGACGGTGAGGGTTAATTTCTTATTGCTTAGTTGAAAAGATGTTCTGGGATTTGGCTTCTTCTCTGTGTGTGTGTGTGTGTGTGTGTGTGTGTTTTGTCTGAGGAGTTGGTGTTTTGTTTAGTTGGTTTTTGTGGTTATGAAGTTGCAAAAGTTGCTGAGGCTGCTATGTGTTTGTTGAAATGCCTGTTTGAATTCTTTATTGGGTTTGTGTTTGTGCTCAATTATTGAGTTTGGAGTCTTAAAGGTTGTTCCAATGGGGTTTTGGTTTGGTCAGGAAATTAGGTGAGCTTGGGTATCAACGAAGTGCAAAGAAATGTAAAGAGAAGTTTGAGAACATTTTCAAATACCACAAAAGGACTAAAGAATGTCGATCTAGTAGGCAGAATGGAAAAAGTTATCGTTTTTGTGAGCAATTGGAGAGGTTTGATAACCAACCCTCGTTTTCATCACCTCTTCCAAATGCAAGTCAAAGCCAAAATCAATCACAAGCAGCAATAGCAGCAGCACCAATCAGCTACAAGCCCACCGGTGCTTGTTTTGATACTATGGTGCCTCGTCCAATCCAGAACCCAAGTATGGAGTTTGTTACCCCATCTACATCAACTACCTCCTCATCTGGGAGAGAGTCAGAAGGAAATAGTAAGAGAAAGAGGAAATTATCTGATTACTTTGAGAAATTGATGAGAGAAGTTTTGGCGAAGCAAGAGCATTTACAGATGCAGCTTTTAGAGGCTTTGGAAAAGTGCGAGAAAGATCGAATGGAGAGGGAAGAAGCATGGAGATTGCAACAGATGGAGAGGATTAAAAAAGAACAAGAATATTTAGCTCAAGAGCGAGCAATTGCTGCTGCAAGAGATGCTACTGTGATGGCATTCTTGCGAAAGATCTCGGAACAATCATCAGTGCAGTTTCCAGAGCCTCCTACTCCTATGTCTGACAAACATGTGGACACGCAGCAGCCTCAAACTCCAGTTCCGTTGCCAAGGATTATTGGGCATGAAGAGCTTGGGAACAACAGTGCTGGACAAGGGGATACATTTGATAGAGAAATAAACAGGCAAAACAATGGTTTTAGTGGAAGTTACAATCTGGCAACTACTTCACGATGGCCTAAAGCGGAAGTTGAAGACTTGATTCGGCTAAGAACAAATCTCGGCATGCAGTTTCAGGATAATGGTCTCAAAGGGCCACTATGGGAGGAGATTTCTGCTGCTATGAAGAAGCTTGGTTACAATAGAAATGCCAAGAGATGTAAAGAGAAATGGGAGAACATAAACAAGTACTACAAGAGAGTGAAGGATAGCAACAAGAGGAGGCCAGAAAGTTCGAAGACATGTCCTTATTTTAATTTGCTGGAGTCTCTGTATGAAAGAAAGTCTCAAAGAATTGAACCAAATCAGGAGTGGTCTGGAAATAATCTGAAACCTGAAGACATCCTAATGCAGATGATGGGCCAGCAAGAGCAGCAACCTCAGCAGAAACAATCATCAAATGAAGATGGCGGATGCAACAATGTCGATCAAAGTAGAGAAGGAGATGCTATGGAGGAGGATGAAGAGAACGACAGTGGTGGTGGTGATGGTTACGAAATTGTTCCAAATCATCCTCCTTCAGGTACTTCAGTGGAACAATGAGATAGTAAGACAGAAGAACCTTATGTATGAAAGTCGAAACTGGTGCAAAAAGTCAACCATTGTCGAAGTTATTGGTGGATGAAAGTCAATCACAAGAGATGACAATTGAGTATTGTAGTGTCTGCCGAGAAGATGATGGAGCTTTTTGGATCAAAGCTTGTAGTTGGTATGCACAAGCTGAGCAGTGTGGTTACTGAAAAGTTTTTTGTTTGTTGGATCTCTTAGTTTTTCCATCTTTTATCGTTTGAGTACCAATGATTGGTAGTAATTTGTTTCTTTCTAGCTATGTATATTCAGTTGGTTTCTTTTTTTTTTTTTTTTTTCTGTTCTTTGGTAAATATTGACATAGTTGAGAATGGTATTGGCAACTACACCATGTACCACTAAGTCAATTTTGTTCGTGAAGTTTCCAGTATCATGTTTTTTTTTTTTTTTTTGTATCAGAAATTGGAAAGTTTTTCAAGTTCCTTTCTTTCTAGTTAGTGTTCTTTGTTTCAGAACCCTTTGTTTTGGTGGCTATGTAGTGATTGCAGGATTGTGAATGTGTCAATGAGCTTCACATTGAAGCGTTGGATTGGGAAAATGGTCTTCCTGATGACACATTTTTACGATGCGGAATTTGAATCATTCGGCTCTTTTTTGCGAAGATAGAAGAAAAGGCACACTTAAGAGAGATAAGTTTGTTCTGACTAGTGGATCTCATCTGCAACAGTGTGTGCATAGATGACATCCAATCGCTTCTTTTTATTGATTTGACATCTCTCCACTTGTCTCCAATTATTTGATGCTCAGAGCCAACTTTGAGGATTGATTGTCAAATATGATTTCGGCCGACAGTCAAAAAAAGAAAAATCCCACCAGGAAGGCAACATGAATCTTGGCCGCTTTCTTTTCCAATATGGCAAAGACTAAATTCTCTATTCCAGTTCTTCAGCTACGTTGTTTCAATTGGTCGAACGGCGTTATGAAACCGTTGTTAGGATGCCAAAACATGTTATCGCACATTGACCAAATAGATTGTTTTCGGAAAGCTGCCTCAAATTCTCAAAGACTTATAAACTTGTTGTTAGGACCCAATTGTTAAAGAAACAAAATAGGACAATTTTTCCGGGAGAAAAAAAGTAAGGTAAAAGAAAATTTCTGTCTTTATTTATTTATTTTTATGTAGAATAGAAAGTAATAATCAGTAACTTCGATACAGAAATTTTATGTATAATAGAAAGTAATAATGAGTAACTTAGATACAGAAAATATCCTTTTAGCTATGGATAAAGGTAAAGTACATTTTCCAATCAGGCACATTAAAATGGAAAATAGTACAAAACACTCATGTGTAGTGATATCATGAACACATAAATATTCTAAATTTAAACTCCCAGAGTCAAACACTTACAAAGTCATCACGTAACAAAATCTCAACGGTGTCTACTTATGTAGTATTGTCCCTCACTGCCTTTTGAAGTCTAGAGCCCGTTAAATTAATGAGTTAATTAAATGGCCAAATTTCTAAAACTATCATCATATTAGGTGCATCAAATTAGTTTAGAGTCTTTTACATAACTAAATCTCACTGCAAACAACTAAAAACAATCACAAATCATAAAGTAATTTCACTAATTAAACTCTCAAAACCAAAGAAGCATGGCTATAAAAACATACAAACTGATTCAAGACATCGAGTGACATACACTCAAAGTGATACTATGATTTGCAAATTGCACAATTTAGTCTTCGATTTCTAGACTATCCTTAATCTAGGAGGGAGATGTTAACAAAATATATTTGAATATATTTATAAAGAAATCAAATTTTGCTAAGGTATCAACATAATAGACTAAAGAAGTCAAATTTTGATAAGGCATCTACAATCATATTTTGTTAAAGGGAAACATGTCATATCACAACATTGAGTAACTCTGTTATTCTAATTAAAACAATACCAGAATTTCAATTTGATAACTTAACAGAAGAAGAGGACTCAAATTTTGGTAAGAATCATATTTTGTTGAGGGAGCACACGCTCTATCACAGACAGGAAAATCAATAATATTTATTTTTTGGTTATTAAACCTATTGCCATAATAATTTAACCATGCCTAATTATTTTTTTTTTCTTTTTTGGTTTATGAATTGGGCCATTTTGCCAGATCCTGCTTCTTTGGCCCATAACTCAATCCAGACGTCATCGTTCGAGTCCTCTGCAGTCTGTACTCTCCACCCGATCAGACCACGAACTACGAATTCGAAAGTCGAAACGCCTTTTTCTCTGTTTCTAATTGTCTACTCCGGCCGGTCTCCGAACGCTCACACCACTCCCTGATCCAGTTATCCAGTCAACCGCCGTCCGGCAGTCTGTTCATATCTCTGTCTAATTTCTTTCCTTGCCACTGTGTTTTCCGGAGCCAGAAGGAGTTAGGTAAGCTGAATGTTTCAACAATAGTTTCTTCTTTTTTCCATTGTTAGAGATTATCTTGTTATCTGCCACCGATGAGCTTCACAGCTGGACCGCTGCTGAGCGCGGCGAGCTGCTATGTTTTTCTTTAGTTTTCTGTTTAAATCATCCAATTTGACAGAAGTACTTCAAATGATCATAGGACAAGGCCAGCAATGCATTGATTTTTTTGTTCCGTTTATGTCAGGATACATGTTAATTTCATTGAATAATATGCTTCTTCTGTTGGATTATGGAAGCTAGGGTCAGGATTGTTTTGTGCAATGTATTGAGCACCTACAAAACTCACATGGTCAAGATCTTATTCATATTGATCCTGAATTAGTGTGTAGAGGATGTGGGTAAAATTCTTTGTTATGGAGGCCTATATGATGGCTAAACTAAATCCTTAGAAAGTAATACTAGTAATGGATGCTGTGTTCTTCACTCAACATTTGGCAGGTTCGTTAATTTATTGGATAAATTGTCAAGAGAATGTGCCTTGGTTTAGGGCTTTTAGGTTGTTCCTTAACAGGGCCTTAGGTTGTTTTCTTAATATTTGTGCATTCTCCTAGGTTTCAACTGCGGAATTGTTATTTATCAGTTTCTTAAATGTCTGTCTTCTTCCAAATCTTCGTGTGATTTGAAGAAATATAGCAAGAATGCAAATGTGCACACTATGCTTATTGGGATCCTGCTTGAAGATATGCGAATGAGATCGACTCCTGAATTGAATTGTTGATCTTAGTCATTAATGGGTGGAAATGATTCCTGATTTCATGATTTGAAGATAGGTATAGATTTGTTTGAATGTTGTTTAGTTGCTGAACTTTTGTTGTGAAGTGGGAATCAGAATAAGTTTTAGTTTGAAAAGGTTTTTATGCTAAAATGATCGTTAATATTAATCGCAATACTTGTACAGGTATTATGTGGTACCAACTGTATGGAGTCTATGGATGTTTGCTTATTTTATGATACACGTGAAATATTAAAAGGTGAATGTCATTTATGGCACAATTTCAATACATTCATCATTTGTGGTCTAAAAATATTGAACAATACAAACATTAACTAATTTTGTAAACCCATATGATTCTACGATCTGATCAAATTTGCCCCAAGTCGTTCGTGTAGAATTACAATCATGGAAACTATGTGTATGCCTCCCTGCATTAGCTAGTTAACTTCATATTTTCCTTGATGTGTCCTCCCAACCCAACCCTGCCTCCACGGATTTGATCCTATCTAAACTGTTCGGATAGCTCAAATCGGGTGGATCCTTTTTGCCGCTTTGGGCAGCCTGTTTTATTGATTTTTGGCTTCATTAGCCAGTTAATTATCATTTCTCAGTGATGCGGACCTCTCTTTTTCTTTTTCTTTTTCTTTTTTTTTCTCCAATAAGGAACTGAATCTTGAACTCCGTAATAGAGAATTATAGTGAAACGTCAGATGTAAAAATCTTTTGGATAAATAATTGCCAAATTTTTGAATTATTTCATTGTCTGTTTCCAAAAATTATGAATATTCTAATTATTGAACACCTTGGTTTCAGCTATTTAGGTTGGATTCAACATGGGCAATGCTGAAACAGCTGCTGAATCTGAGAAGAGCTTCTTTAAGAAACAATGGGAAGGCTACAAGGGGTTCTGGTGCGAAAGGTTTTCTTTCTTGGATAATTATTCCAGATTTATAAAGCGTGACAAGCCACTCCCCTCTTGGTCAGAAGCTGATGTGGAAGAGTTCATTGTCTCTGACCCTGTTCACGGACCCGTTGTATGTAATTTTACATTGTTAACCTTCCTCGAATCGCTGTTGTTTGTTTGAGTTTTGCTTTCTTTTGCTTCAGATGGGTTTTGATTGTGTGGCTTCCCATATCGAGCTGACAGTACTGAAATTTGGCAAGTGCATTTTTTTTTTTCTTGTGGTTTGTAATATAGTTGCATGTTTTGAACTGATATTTTGGTTTCCGTTTCCTTTACTTATGCCCGGATCCATCATTTTTCTCTCCGGTAGGCTCAGGTGCCTCTGTGCAACTTGGAAAGATTACGGGCATTCAAGTTTTTATTTGAACTTTGATTACACTGTGGTAGTGGAGTACTATTGTAATGAGATTTCAGTTCATTTTTCTATGAAGCGATGTCAATGTGTATATGAATGGCCTCCATTTAGTTGTCAAGCTGAGAAAATAATCGCTGTCAGTTTTAAGAGTTTTATTTGTAGTTAGTACAGATATCGATTTGGTTGCTCTTTTGGTCTGGATCCTTTTCTTTTCTCACTACATGAAATCTTCTCATCTCTCTGTAATTTCAAAATTGTCTCATTTTAAACTTTATGTCACACTTCAGCATTAATCAGTTGACTATCTTAATCTTTTGAAGCTTCAATCTTAAAGGGGACTGTTATTTGATTTTTCTTGGCGATGTGGCTGTAACTTAGAATCTGGCCATGTGCAAAGTTGAAGCTGTCCAAGTCCAAGAAGAAGCGTTTTAAGGCATGAGTTTAGATGATCTGTAGTTAATAACATGAAATGTTTGATGACCTTTAATCTTAGCAATTTATGTTTAAATCATTGCTACAATTTTATCGTCTCTATGTTCTTTGTTATATCGTTATCCATTGTCCACCATGGGATCGATTTTCAAGGCATATTATTCATTTGAGAACATTTCTTTTTCTCCATTTGTTGTTGTCTAAACTGTTTTCTTTGTGTCTTTCAAAATTTCAGCTCAAGACTGCCCGGCAAGCTGCTAAATATGGTGCTGTTGGTGGACTTGTTGGTGCAGTTACAACTGCCGGATGGGCTTGGAAATACTCAAGAAGTCCACATGGTATGTTTGCTGGTTGATATCCAAAAGTTAAAATTCCTTGTGGTAACGTTTGGCTTATAATGGTTTGAGGAAGTTGTGAAAATGTCATGTATCCTGCTCTTTGGGTTTTCTTTGTATGGATTCATAAAAGGACTAGCTTGTTCTTTTATTGTTAGCCCATCTTGCTTGAAGCTTACTTGTTCTTCATGTGTTTGAAGTTTTTTAGGTGATAGAGGAACTTCATATTCTATGTAATCAGTTCCATCTAATGTTGCTCAGCTAATGCACAGCGCTGGATATTAAAGCAAGAAAAACTTGATAAAAGATGTTTATTGGAGAAATTCTGTGAAAAATTGGTTGAAAGAGGTTGTGTCTCTGTAAATATTAATTTACCTCTGATGTTCTGTTACTGTAAACATGAGAAATACACTTTTTCTTCTGAATTTTCGTAAGGCAAAGCTTTTAGTTCTCTATATATGTGTTGCATAACTTGTACTCAGTATCCTTGCACATCTAAGAATGACCAGTATACCTACTGCATATCTTTAAATAGAGTAGTGTTCGGTTAGTTTCTCCGTTACCATGATTGGAGAAAAAAAATGTTTGCTCATCTGAATTTTAAGAAAGCTGTCTCATCAACTGATTATACCACACTGTGCATCAGCTTCTGGCAGTTCATTTTTCCTGGTGTGATGTTGGGTTGTTAAGCTTTGACAGCTTTCTTTAGACTATAATTTTTGTAATGAATATTAACTCATGGACTGTAAAGATTTACTTTCTTAGGTTGTCACAATGTCCGAATCTCGGCAATGGATTTTATACTGTATAGCCAATGAGCTGTATTCTTCCTTGAATCTATGCTTTTGACTAAGATGACTGATTAAACTCAGTGCGTCGGCGTCTGTGGTTTCATCTTGATTGAGAAAGAAGTATAGAAACTAAGTTTATAAGCTTTTTGAGTGGGAACAAGTGTAAAGCGTTTCTGTTATGCCATCTCTACGTCGAAGTGTATATGTTGCCTTTAGTTTTCACATGTTATACCCGTGATGTGATGAAGCATGTTCCCATGTATCTAGTTTCATAATTCTTGGTTCATCACTCTCCTTCTGATAAAGTCAAATGGCGAGATTCTGGTCTATTGTATGTGGTATCTCGTGCTGATTCAGCATATTCCTTCCAACTCCATACATCTCATAAACATGAAAAATTGTTGCTGAATATCTATTCGCATTCATTTCACAAATTTTTTTTATTTTCTTGTAGATGTTACTGTAGTTGTCTCATGAATGATATTGCTGTCAATTTCCTAGAGATCGCTACATAATCATGCTGAAGTTATTCACTTTTGCATATGTGTTTGTTATCGGCAGGTGCTGCTCTATCTCTTGTGGCAGGGGGTGTCTTTGGATGGACTTTCGGACATGAGATCGCAAACCACCAGCTGCAGCTTTATAGGTTGGATACAATGGCTGCCCAGACCAAATTCATGGAGTGGTGGGAGAAGAAAGTGGAAGGATACTGATGATGAATTTTGTAAAGCTGTTAAATGCAAATCTCAGCAATAATATGAAGCTTATGAACTTGTAAAAAAGCTTTTATGGTATCTAAGACGCATTGTATAAGCAGTTCTCTATTCTGTGCGGTGTCATTGGACGTTTTATGAGCCTTTCTTTACAATAAAAGGTTTCAAAAAGTCCTACTCCCTTTGTCCGATTTGAATAATCTACTTGATTGTGAAAAAAAAAAACAAAAAAACCTAACTTCATTGTTCTCATTCTGGAACACAGTTCTAGTAAATCTTTATAAACCATATCCTTCCATCTCCTCCATGAGTTTTTCACCAACCAAAAGATTTTGCTTCTTTGCCTTCTTTATTAGTCTTTTTCTTTTTGGTGCAGATTCGTTACAAGATCAATGAGTTTAGCCTCAACTCAAGAGCGTTATTTGGGGGATATAATTACATTTGCAGGTTTGAATCCCTATCACCCAGAGCCGTTGTTTTCCATAGCTTAAACTAGGTGTTAGACTCGTCCGATGGACGGAGAAGGCATACACATTTATATATTTTTACATAAATTTTGATTTTTATAAAATATGTAATGACTTCAGTTTAAACATGATTACCTCTGGATTTACTGGAATTTGTTTTTTTTAAATGACATTTTAAATTCACTGGTGATAAGATTTATGCAGACTTCTCTAAAATTTGTTAGGATTTGGTACTCTCTCCAATTAATCTCTGTGTTAGGATTTGGTTCATGAAAATAAGGGTTTGGTTTTTATTATTTTGCTTTTTTTAAAAAAATTATTTTAGTTGCTTTTTTTTTGGTTTTATTATTTTGTTTTGTGCATTTTTAAGTCTAAAAAATTAAGAAAATGCCACATAGGATTAAATCCTATGTGGTATGTGCTCCATGCCTTTAGTTTTCTCTCTCTGGTTTTTGCCTTAGTATAGTATATAGATAGATTACCTGCCCTCAAAATTATTGAAATTTATGAATTAAAATTCAGTGATTAGTATAGTATAGTAGGTCTTCGTTAGGGCATTTTTAAGGAGAGTACATACCGTTCTTGAATATATATGAGATTTACTCACTTGATGTCATTAGTCTCACCAAAATGTCTATATTTAATATGGTCCTTTAAAACGTGCATTAAAATTGAGAAAATGTCAACTTGTTTTTCTCAGTATAATTTTTTGCTTTTACACACTCCCGATTAAATGACTTTTAGGAATAAATGTCATTGGGTTTACTACTACCAAATTTATTTTGTATACAATTGTTAGTAATCCAAGTGGTACGTTAAGCTGAAGGAATGCAAAATTCATACTCAAAAGCTGAAACTGAAACACCGAATTCAATCAATTCACTTGTCGCAAAAACAAAATCCATGTAATTCGATCCAACTGATTTCTACTACAAATAGCTCTAGAAGTAAATAGCTATGCAACAAAAACAGAAAAGTCTGTATTGAGAAACAAAGCGGGCATCATGCCAAATACTTGAACAAGTTTGGGTTTTCCTTGTCCCTCTCCAGATAGTCCCGAGTGATTAAATCTTCAATTCGCTTCTTGATGGCCTTCACGTCGGGTTTAAACATTTTACTCAACTGCTCAACGCATTCCCCGACCAACTGCTGATAGCCCAAAACTTTTCGAGCCTTCATTATACGGACAACTGATGCATCAATCGAATACCTTCTATCCTTATCAACATCTTCAATCACTTTTTTCTTCTCATCCACTGGAGGATTAGGGATCTTAATCCTCCTCATTTTATCATCAAACTTTGAGTTGAACTGAAAGGCATCAGTAGGTGAAATCGTTCTTGAATTGGGCTCTTTCGTGAGGATCTTGTACTTAGCACAAGAAAGGGAATGAAGAGTCCTGACAACATCATCATCAGACAGATTCAGTTGAGCCTTAATCTCCTCATAGCTCAATCTGTCTGACCCGTTGAAAAGCAGCAGAGCAGCAGCCTGGTAAGGTGATAGGATCAGCTCTATCTTCTTGGCATCAAACTTCCCCATGAGGTTACAGTTTCCCAAAGAATTAATCCAAGTAAGCTTCCTATGTTTTGTCTTTGTTTGGTAATACTCTTTGAAAGCTTCCACACATTTTACCATCTCGGCCGGAAGGTTAAGGTCAGAGGATTTGTAAGTAGGCCAGAATCCGGTTGTAAGGACAGTAACAGTCAAGTCAATCCCAGGATGAACCCTAGGATTTCCTCGGAGGTACTCGGCAAAATGTTGCTGGTTCTCTTTAGCCAATGTCATATCGGTGACCATACCTTCCATCTTTGATGTGAACTGACCCCCAAATTGCTGTTTAAGTTTCGACAAAAGGCTTCTCACATGGTCATCATCAGCACTTTTATCATAGATAAGGCGCCGCGCAAGCTTTTTCCTGAAGAATTCCGCAAACAAATCCTTATCGCTAACAAAAGCGAGCAACATCACTACCTTTTCCAAGGTTTTTTCTATAGCTTCGTCAGTTAGCTTTTCACTCCCACCATTTTTCAGGACATTCTCACAGAAGGTCGCGAGAAGTTCCGCGCTGGAGCTTCCGGCAACACTCTTATTGCAAAACACCTCGAAGGCTTCCTTGAGTGCCTTATGGAAAAGAGAATGGTTCTGGAAAAAGTCATTCACATACCCGAGGTACTTGTCGTGCAATTCAATCAATTTCCTCACGAGAACCTGCTCCGGTAAACCAACCACATCTCTCTTGTCGGCCTTCTTGTCCTTGGCGGCATCTTCGGCCTGCTTCACTAAAGCCGTGCCTTCATTAGTAACATACTGTTTGAATGCATTGGAAACAGGTTCTAACCCTAACCCTTGTTCGACTCTCGAGAACAGCCGGTACATCCTAGACAAGTCCTCCACCTTATCTTCTCGCAACAGCGCCTGAATTCCAGAATGCTCTTTCTCGAGCAGTTGGGTTGCATAAACAGTTAGCAGCTCGTGTTCAGCCTTATTAAGCAGCTTCGTTTCACTGCTCGAATGGAGATAATGCTCGACCCTGTCCTTCTCTTTCTTCAAACACTCTTCAACCTTCAACATGTAATCCGGACAAGAATCCTCCAGAATCCATTGAGAAGCTTTCCGTGAGTAATATCCCTTGGTATCCTCGAGCATCAGCGCTTCGAAATCCTCCTCATAGTATTTCTTCTCCTCAGTGTGGAGAGCAACAAACATATCCAACACATTCTTCAATAAAGAACGGTCGATTTGGTCGCCCTCGCGCTCCTGGTTGATCAGGGCTATAACAGCACCCGAAACTTTCCCTTTCAAATCTTCAAACACTTTATCCCTGAAACACTTCAAACCAACCTCGTTCAGAGGAAGCAGCGAATATCGATAGACAAAAAACCGGTCGAGGTAATGGAAGAACCTCGAAAGCCATCGAACCATGACCTTGTGATTCGACCATCGTTTAACGATCTCCATCAACATGAATTCGTCGTGCTTTTCCCTCAGAGAAGGCAGCACGGACGAAGCGGCATACGCCTCGAAAGACTCTCGGTACTTGTCGTACAACTGCTGAGAGTAACCGTGCGGCGGGTTCTGAGTACACATGTTGTAAATTGTTGTGTACAAGTTCATGTATCCTTCAGAATCGAACTGCGACTCATCTTTTCCTTCCAGAATCCTCTTCAGCTTTTTGATTCCTTGGTCCATGATTTCCCATCCTTCCTCCAGTTCGATGATTGATTTCTGGCTCATCATGATGTTTGATGAATGGACTCACTAAGCACAAAGCGAGAAAGCCCTGAATTATGAGATTGAGAAAAAAAAAAAAACAATTCTAGAACCGATCGGGGGAGTTTGTACGATGAGAATTTTTTGATTGAGAAACCCCAATATCTTTACTTGTATAGAACCCTCTCTATTTATAGGGAAGGATTCGGGCCTTCACAAAACCGATTCCTATAAAGAATCTAATGAAAATTACTTGGTAATAAGTAACTTCCTAATCTAACTTTGAAATTGACAGGGGAAACAAAATTAAAATACAATCACAATCCTTATCTACGTAGTGTTTGGAAACTAATTTAGATTTTTCTTTTTATTGGAAATTGAGTTAAAAGTGGAGAATCGAATGTAGCCAGTTGGTTTGGTTGGGGGGTGGGGCGCTATGAGACACACAAACGAGAGGCAGGCCTGCCTAGTGCCTAGAGTTCCTTTCTAAATTGTTTTTTTGAAAAGAAAAGATGTACTATTATTAAGAAACAAGGTCTCGATTACACGCCTTTGCTTGAGTATGGACTAAATTTAATCTATCTCTACTGACTTTAATAATCATACAGTTGTTAAGTAAGGATTTGTAATATAGAATATCCTGAACTATGTCCTTTATTTCCATTGGAGCTTTCTGCGGATGATGGAGGAAGTGTACCAAGTTAAGAGAGTCCGTCCCTATAGTTTCTACCATGAGTCTGTTTTGGACGATATATTTGATGGTTGCTAGGCATGTGAGAGCCTCTGCTTGTAGTGCTGAAATTGCGTGAAATTGTGCGGTGTGAACGTCCGTTTAATTTGCGGCAGTATGGCCCAAGCTCCAGCCGCTGCTAGCGTAGTTTTGTTGAAAGCCCCGTCAAAAATCACTGTCGGGGATGATTCAGTAGTTGATGAAAGTGAGGATGTTCTTTGGTGATGGAATAATGTAGATTGCTCTGAGTTCCTGTTATGTTGATAGAGACGATACTCTCCAAGAGCTTGTTCTACAATTGTCTTTGGCTCCTCTTTCAACCTGTCTCAATACTCCTTCCGTCCCAAAATTATTGTCGTGTTTGAAATTTTACTTTCAATACAAATTGTATTAAAAATGAAACACCAAACTGGACAATAATTTTGGGACACAGGGAGTATAATTTATTACGACTTTTCCAAAGATTCCAGAGAATGACCGGCGATTCTTCCAGTGCTTCACCATCCGGTGTCTCTGTTATCCAGCTTGTTAACCATTGTTGGACCGTCTCATTCACCCCTTCCTGAAAGTTGAAACCAAAACGTGAAAGAAACCAGACTCGTTGTACTTTATCACATTCTAGAAAAATGTGGGAATCTGTTTCTTCAGCTTGATTACATTCGATGCAAAGGGGAGAGATTGAAATACCTCGCTTCCTTAATTCCCTGGCCGAGGCACATCTCCCATTTAATAACTTCCATGTGAAATGCTGGATCTTGACAGGAAGCTTGAGTGACCACAATTTTTTCCATATCTGGCTTGGAAAAGACATAAATGTTTGAGGAGATGAGGATGATGGGAGGGAAGCTGCAGCGATGTTAGTAGCTTGATGATATTCCGACTTTACGGTGTATTGACCTTGTTTGTCATGAATCCATATGAGTTCATCTTTCATAGAGGGATCAGTTTCCGGTATGTGAACCGTGAGTGGTAGAGAGATTTCCCATCGTTTATCTGTGTCAATGAAATGGCAGACTTTGAGGTGCATTGGACTTGGTGAAGGCATAACAATCTCTTAGTTGCAATTCGGATTTGAAGCCAGACCAGGTTGGCTTGTACCATGAAAATACAATAATGTCAAACATTGGACTGACTATCTTTAGCTTCGAATTTAAGTTCAAGTTTTAACTATTGTAAAATATATAAAGCAAGCAGAAGAGATATAGAAGAAGTCCATAATCTAGCTTATAGTAGAATGCATTGAAATAAAATAAGTTCTTATAATTAATATATAGGAACCTTTAAAAAAAAAAATTATCTTCAACTGTCATCTGTCACTCATCTCCAACTTGGAAGCCTTGGATGATTGAGATATCAAAGCTATCAAACAGCCAATTAAAAGAGTCACATTACACTCATCTCCAACTTACAACTTGGAAGTCTTGGATGATTGAGATATCAAAGCTATCAAACAGCCAATTAAAAGAGTCACATTATTGAAACGTAAAACTCCTTCCATCTCAAAATTATTGTCCAGTTTAGAATTCCCCTGTTTCAAAATTATTGTCCACCGGAGAAACAATCATAACAAAAATGTTTACGAAAGAGATGAAAAATCATTTCATGATCCACATTTTAATTTCTCTTTTTTTTTTTGGGGGATTATTTTCATGATCTAATGATTGAGTTGTCCAGTAACAGCAAAAAAGATAGAACAAACCATGACAGACACAAATAGCATCATCTGAGGAAATGAACACTTCAAAGAACATAATAGCCGGATCCAGTAGAACCCTATTTTCTTTCACTCACACAATTGCAGCCAAAAAGGATAAAGCATGCAACACATTCCATGTCAGAGCAAAACTCTCCATGAAAGTTCATCATCACTGGTGAATGAAAAATGCAGGGAAAATAACTGACTAGCCATATTTAAATCTTTAGGTCAGAAACTTGATATCTTGTAAATTAAATTGGCCATAACATGTGAGATCAAATACAAGTTTCAGCAATCAGATCCAAGACGTCCTCAAGAAGCCGCAGCATCAACCATCTCGTGTTCGGTAGTTGGCTCAACTGGAAAGTATTGATAATGCAATTCACCTACATCATCACCAGAAAGCTTCTTCCACCCGTTGGGTCCGACGTGGTAAACTTTAAAAGGGGGAAAAAAAAAAAAGAAATGTACTCGTAAGAAAACAGTTGGACCACTTTTATATGGTGAAAATGTGAAGAAAGCAACAGCGAGATAACAAGCATTACCGCTAACAACACCACCGCTAGCACCATCACGAAATGTGGCATGGTAGATTGCACGTCTAGCCAACACAGCGGCTTCAGCAACAGACATGTCATAACGGTACCTGTAAAAAACCACAAACACCAAAAGTTAGTGAGAATTCTAATTTAAAGTAAATCAGGCCAAGTTTCAGAAAGCTGAAGAAGATGGAACGCCAAAAAGGAAAAAATGGAAGCAGTTAAATAGAAGTGAAAACTGAAGAAAATGGAACCAAACACAAACAGAAGTACTTAAATAGTACTCCCTCCGTCCCAAGAAAATAGTCCACAAGTTTTGAGTTTTGTACTGTTTTTAGTACAAATTTGCAAACTCAATGTGGACTATTTTTTTGGGACGGAGGTAGTAGTTAAAAAACCATCACTCAAGCCAAGCATCCATTCTCCAACATAGAAAGGAAGCATGCAACAAAAGTCCACGTGCTACAAATCAGAGTAACTAACAAGCAACAAAGCTATTTACAAATCATAAACTAAACCAGGACAAGGAAAAAGAGGCATACCCGCTGTCCAAAACACCATAAGCATATGGAGAACCAGATCCAACAGAGAATCTGTTTCCTTTCAGCCTACCACCCTCACTGTCCACATAATACAGACCAGGACCCTATACAAAGATGTAAACCATGATGAACAACAAAAATGGCAACAATGCAAAATCCTCTCAACTAAGCCTGGCCTAATTCCAACAATTAACAGTACCGTTTCGTCCCACCCCGCAATCATGGTTCCAACGGACAAACCCATTCCACGGTAGGAATACAGAATGTTTGCCAGCAACTTTGATGCCCCTGTAACTGAAATCCTCCGCTTGTTCGCAAGTTCATGCAGACGGCACTAGAATATAAAAGGAAACTAATCAGTCTTTCCAACAACATGCTTCCCCTCCATTCTGGAACTAAGCATCACAACATGTCATCTTGGAAAACACAAGATGTTCCCTGAACAAACTATGAGGCAATTTTAGATCGCAGGTAAACCATAAAGAGAGAAACTTTATATAGTGCACTCTATCAATATAAGCAACCTAAATATACCTTAATGCCCAAATTTCTATGCCAAAACTGGCAATCAGCAGCCCCTCCAGCCATAGTGCCCAGCATATACGGGTTGATTTCAATGATTTTCTTCACCGATTGCGATGCTGATTTTAAGCAGGGGGAAAGTTAATTACACAATCGGGCTAACTAAAAGAAAACAAGAGAGCACAGGCATAAAATCAAACAAATGTCCCATCAAATATTCCAAATAGATATAGTAAACATAATAGTGTCACCTTAACCAAATAAACCAGCTCAAAGATATACCAATGAAGCTCGTTCAAAATTTGCTGTTTACAAAGAATCAGCTAAGATAAACCCAAACAATTTCACAAACTCACATATGTAACCGCCCATGCTAGCCCGCGAATCCGCAGCCACCATAACACCTTCTTTGAAATTAAAAGCTAGGGTCGTGGTTCCCTTTGCTGGCTTGACCATTTGAACTGCTTCTTTCTGGAACTTATCAAACTACAGAATCATCCAAAAAAAAAAAAAAAGAAATATATAAATGATCAAACCAAGCAAAACCCAAAAGCCAATTCGTAAATTGAGTGTAACAGAACTGACGTCATTAATCTGGGGGATTTGAAAATCGGGGGCAGTCGACAGGCCACCGGGGTAATCGATAGCGCACTGACTGAAGAGTTCTCCCCTCAAAACAACCGTCGATTCAAGTCCACTCAACCCAATATCCATTGTTTTCGCCAGTAATCTGAATACAATTAAACTAAAATAAGCACCACGAACTACTATACCAAAAGGAATCGATTCGATTGATCTGGATTCTTGCCCTTAATGACTCCGGCCAAGAGCAAAGAAGTGAAAACAGCAAGGTTTTTTATTCTTGGTTAATTCGTACTAATACTGCATTTTACCCCCCCGAGTGTTCCTCGGTTTAAAAATATATTAGTAGTATAAAAGTTATTTCTCTTGTCAAAAAAATAGTTCAAAATAAAAAGTTTATAAAAAAAAAAAAATACTCTCCCTATCCCAAAATTATTGTCTAATTTAGATTTACTTTTAACTAATTAGACGTGAAAATCCAAACCGAACAATAATTTTGAGAAAGATGGAGCATATAAATAAAAGTTGATGATCATCTAAATGGTCAACTTAGTTAATTTTCTATTTTTTGAGAGCAAAATGATTTTTTGGGGTCTTTTAGAGTAATCCTAAACTTACATATCCTACTATATTAGAAATAAAAACCCCCTTCCAAACACCTCCTATGATTGCCACGTGACATGAGAAAAGTACTAAATTGTCCTTTTGTCTAACCATAACTAAATTACTAAATCCCCCTTTGTACTTTACGTGATACGGTTTTTTTTTTTATTTTTTCTTTATGTTTCATTCAATTAGAATGGTTTTCTTTTCTTAATTATGGAGTCTAAATTGAATTGATCAATTAAGTTTTTGTTACAAAGTGTCAATTTTATTTTAAGTGTATACCCTTCGGATGAAGCTTATTACAAAGCTATTAAAAATCTCCAAAACTAAATATTGATTTGGCACGACCAATGGAGAACATCAATAAATCATCTTACTAATATTTAAACTTATTTCGATGCTTTTATATTTTGTCTAGCATTTATTTCAACACATATATTTGATTAAGTCTATTTATATTTAATAAGTAACACTTATAAAATATTTCTAAAACATACATGGCGAAATACAATTTTTTTTTTTGTGAAATACAAATATTTCTATGATCACACTTATAAAACATTTTTAAATCCTTCAAACATTTCTAAAATATATCGCTCCAAATACAAAATTTTATTTTTTTTCAAATATAAACATTTCTAAGATCTACAGATAGACTGGGCCAAGGTCGCGCATTGCGTGACCAGACATCACTAGTAATTTTTATAGGCCAATTAAATGTACGTATCTTTGGGTGTTTTAAAATTTATGGGGGAAAATAAAAATTTGAAAAGAGCATCTTAAATTACGGTTAAGGTGCAATTTCATCCTGTCCTTTCTTTTCTATAAAAATAAAAAATAATAAAATATACATAGATAACCTAAGAGAACTAATCCTAATTAATAAAATATATTTAGAGATTTTAACAAAACTAATTCTAATCAAGTAATAATGGGATATATACTAATTTTAAGAATTAATCTTGGGAAAAATATATATACTAATTTTCATATATAAAAGGAAATTAAAAATAAATTCATAATAACTAGGGTTTCAATTTTACGAGTAATTATGTGAATAAGATCGACAGACAACACTTTAAATTTCACGATCAAATTCCGCGTGTCTTTGATTATGTGAATACTTTCCTTAATTAATGTCAACGTTGATGTACGATCCAGTAGAATATAGTAATTAATTTTGACATCAAAGCATAGTTATTAATTTAATTTAACCTAATTATAATTTTTTTACACTTTAATGAAATACGAAAAAAGTGATGATGTGTGGGAGAATTACCCTAAAAACCTCTTAGTACAACACGTAGGCATTGGAAGCTAAACTTTATATATATATATATATATATATTTATATATATATATATAAGAAGAGAAGCCATAAGGCTTGATGACAAAAGCTCGGAGCTAGGTGAGTCTAGTACAATCCCTACAAACTAGGAGTTCTAAATCCGACGGAGGATCATACAAAAATTATAGTCCTAATAGTAATGCAAATACCATTTTAGCTTATGAGTATGCTAAAACATTGCAATTCCTATCTACATGCTTGATTTTGACATCCCATGTGTGGTTGAGTAGGTTTTTCACTCTCCATAAAAAGGCTATGTCCAAGGATGGTTTCTTGGTGAGAGTTTGGCAAGTCAGTTACCTTTGACCTGTATACTTTCAACTAAATTCTTGTATAACCAGCTGTTTTTGCTCATAGTAATCCATGATATACCCCCCAGATTTCACCTCATCAGGGGTACATATTCCAACTTTTTTTGTGAATCCAATGATCCATTCTCTAAGATAATTTCTCAGTACACCTCCGGTAGTAGCTACTTTGCTTCTTGTTTGAACAGACCCATCGGTGTTGAGTTTGATCAAGTTGGGGGGGGGGTCCAAGAGGCTTTTCTAGTTGAGCCTTTAATGGTGGCTGGAAATTTTCACTAGTCCCGAAGATTACTTTTACCAGTACATGAACAGAGTGATAAATTGTCATTCCAGTCATCTCGATACTTGCAAATATTCTTTGATTTTGGCTTGTCCAAAACTTCCAACAGCACGACCAAACCAAGTGATCCAAGGTTTTCCTTCCTGTAATTCAAAAATAGAGGTCAAGTTAGCAATGAGCCATGATTGAAGATTGAGTTCAATCCAAAAATTTAGGGGGAGCTGATCATGGATATGTTCCCACAACATGGAGGGTAGTTTCTAAATTTTTGCAATAGTGACAAGCTCCATCAGAGGTCATATGACGTCTTGATCTTTCAGCATTAGTTAGTAAAGCTCCTCTCATTAAGAGCCACAAAAAGCTCTTGATTTTTTCATGTTCGTTCCATTTCCATATGTGTCTCCATTTACGCTTTTCCAGCTTCCATTTGTTGCTGCATAACAAAGTATAGGATGAGCTTGTAGAGAATTTCCTAGAAACTTCAAATCTCCATGTAGGTGCATCAGGTCCTAAGTTGTTGCTGGGGGTCGGGATTGCACCAATTTTGAGACAAAACTCCTTTGACAGATATGGTACCATAATGTCCCAGTTCCATTGACCGTCAGGACCAACATAAGTAGCTACACATCTTTCAAGATCAATACTTCGTACAAGAACATTAGCATAATGGATTAGTGGTTTGTCATCGACCACCCAAACATCTCTCCAAAAGTTGACTGAGAGACCATTTCCTATACTCCTTCAAAACCCTTTTCTAACCGGAAATTATAAGCTGCACATTAAGTACAGCTTGGTGGCTGCACTTAATGATGCATGCTCTTCACGCGCTTTTACGCAGCATGAAGCTTCCACTCGCGCACTTAATGCGCAGAATTTTGGTGTATCTTTTTTTTTTGTTTATTGGGGTTTATGAGTTTTAAAATTTTCTTTAATCTTCAAATGATATAATTTCATAATCGATAAAGAATTAGACAAAGTGTCGTACATCATTTTGATAGTACTCGATGAGATCTATCCAATAAGATCCCCCATTAGTATGTTTTTTCAAACTTAAAAAAATTTATTAAATAAGTGTGGTCTTCCTAAAAGGCACTCTGGTCTTACTTGTTGCTCCTAAGTGTTCTGTGCAAACAGTTTGGTCTTTTTATTTGTTGCTGTAGGTCTTGACTTTTATGTATTTCTCTTGATCTTCCTGAAAGACACAATGGCCATGCTTGTTTGTACTACTGATCTTTGGTCTTTTTAGGTCTTGACTTTTATGTATTTCTCTTGATCTTCCTGAAAGACACAATGGCCATGCTTGTTTGTACTACTGATCTTTGGTCTTTGGTTCTCGGTCTTTGCTCCTCGTACACGCTCGTTCTTCACTCTGGTCTTTGGTCTTCGGTTTCGATATTTACTCTTTGTTCTTTGGTCTTTGGTTTATGCCCCTCACACACGCTCGATATTCACTATGCTCTTTGCACTTTGGTTTTTAATCTTTGGTTTTTGGTCTTTTAGTCTTCGGTCTTTGCTCACCACATATGCTCACTCTTCACTCTGGTCTTTGATCTTAGGTTTTTGGTCTTCGATTCTTGGTCTTCGGCCTTTGTATATTTATTATGTTTAAGGTTTAGGGGGTTTGACCATTTTTGTGTCGGTTAGGATCTAGTTGTTTAGGGTTTATGGTTTAGGCGGGGGGGTTTAAGCATTTTCGTGTCGGTTAGGGCCTATTTTGTGCCGTAACACAATTAACATTATAAATTTTTTTAACTAATTAGGATAGGGCGGTTTAAAAAAAATTCAAACCAAAAAAAAAATTAGTATGTTTAGGGTTTGGGGGGTTTGACCATTTCCGTTTCGGTTAGGGTCTAGTTGTTTAGGATTTAGGATTTAGGGGGATTTAAATATTTCCGTGTCGGTTAGGGCCTAGTTTGTATCGTAACACGATTAACCTTATAAATTTTTTAAAACAAATTAGGCTAGGGTCTAGTGAAAAATTTAAACCAAAAAAAAAAAAAAAAAATTAGTATGTTTAGGATTTAGGGGGGTTTGACCATTCCCTTGTCGGTTAGGGTCTAGTTATTTAAGGTTTAGGGTTTAGGGGGTTTAAACATTTCTGTGTTGGTTAGGACCTAGTTTGTCCCGTACAGGATTAACCTTAAAAAATTTTTAAACCAATTAGGCTAGTGTCTCGTAACAAAAAAGAAAAATTAGTATGTTTATGGTTTAGGGGGGTTTGACCATTTCCGTGTCGGTTAAGATCTAGTTGTTCAAAGTTTAGGGTATAGAGGGGTTTAAGTATTTCCGTTTTGGCTAGGGCCTAGTTTGTGCCATAACACGATTAACCCTAGCCTAATTGGTTTAAAAAAATTTAAACCCAAAAAAAATATTATGTTTAGGGTTTAGGAGGGTTTGACCATTTCCGTGTCAGTTAGGGTCTAGTTGTTTAAGGTTTAGGGTTTAGGGGGTTTAAGCATTTCTGTGTCGGTTAGGGCCTAGTTTGTGCCGTAACACTATTAACCTTATAAATTTTTTTTAAACCAAAGGTTAATTAGTTTAAAAAAATTTATACCCCAAAAAAACAAAATTAATATGTTTAGAGTTTTGGGGGGTTTGACCATTTCCGTGTCGGTTAGGGTCTAGTTGTTTAGGGTTTAAGGAGGGTTTAAGCATTTTCGTGTCGGTTAGGGCCTAGTTTGTGCCGTAACACGATTAACCTTATAAATTTTTTTAAGCCAATTAGTCTAATTGGTTTAAAAAATTTAAACCAAAAAAAAAAGTATGTTTAGGGTTTAG